TTAGTTAATATGACACGTCATTGGATTTTTAACGGAAGGACTAAGTTGGGGTCAAAATGGTAAACAGTAGGGACCAAATCAGGGATTTATTGAGTTGAGGGACTAAATCAGTGGTCTGTACAATAGTTGAGGGACCAAAATGGGGGTTTAACCTATTTTTTATTATAATCTTATATGTAATTTAATAATTAACTTTCTTTTTTTTATTATTTTTCTTAGACTCATGATAGTGTATGTGTTTTCTCAAAATTCTTTAACTAGCCTATGCCATTTGAGTAGGGGTTTAAGGTGTGTCATTTGTTTGATCTAAAAATTGAAAAATAAAATTTCTTTGATAACTTCTTCTTTTTAATAGTCGACTTTTAAATAGAATGACTAAAAGTAAAAGCACATTTGCCGGTGAATTGTTTTGCCCTTCAAACAATGTTGCAAAATAGAACGTAGTGTTTTTGCAAAATGAGTTATTACTTATTTTAAACAATTCCAAGGACTTTACAGCTACAAAAATATATAAATAGCTACTAATTCTAAATTAAATATAATACTCTAAATAAATTAACTAAAAACAATATGAAAATAACATGCATTTAAGGGAAATTCACAAGACTAGAAATTGTACAAACTTACAGACTATTGTTATGACTGTGCAGACCATATTGAATTCTAGAAGTTAATTTCCAAATAATTCTATTTTCTAAATTAGCTTAACATCAATTATAACCTACTTAAAGATCTAATGCTAAATTAAACTAGAATGCAAATTAAGTCTAATTTTAGAAACTAATTTAATTTAATTTCAAACTAGATTAAGAGCATGTTTGGTAAAACTTGTAAGAGTTTCAATTTTTTGATACTATTTCTATTTTATAAGTTTAAATTTTTCTCTTAAAAACTTACATTTTTTAATTTTTTTTTAACTTTAAAAAGATTTTAAACAGTAAATTTTGAAAAGTTTCAAATTTATACTTTTTATAAACTTTCTTTTTAATGACTTTTTTCTATTTTTAAAAGTAATTTTTAAATTTTCACTCTAATAAAAATTTAAACTTATCACTCATAAACAGTTAAAAAAAAAAAAGACAAAAGCTTTTACAAGCTTCACCAAACATGCTTCACCAAACATGCTCCACCAAACATGCTCTAAAACTAACTAATCTACTTAAAAGTCAAAGTTAAGAACTTTAATTGAAATTTGGAAATTGATGAGATCTACCATTAATCAAACATCCAAAGAAAGCAACTTCTAAAAAGCATGAACTTTGCAAAAAGGAAATCATGATGGAAGTAAATAGACAACCCTAATATGAATCACTTAAAGAAGTTGAATTCATTAAAAATCATTAACCAAATCAATGGGAGAGACCCAAATTATAAGGTTGGTTCACTTCCAAGTTCTACAATTGAAATTTGTGAATAACAGCAAAGAACAAGAAACCGAACTGAAGTCTTGAATTTGTGCAGAAAACTGGCAAATCAATTCGAAGTTAAGAAAAAGTGTGTTAGTTAAATTTTTGAGAGTGGTAGGCTCGAAAAAAATTGAATTTTTCTCCATTGTTTTCTTTTACTTCGTTGCTGGAGTAGTCTCCTATGATTTTCGGTCCACTTTCTATGCTTGGTTGACTTCTTCCACATCTAGCAGCAACAGTTTCCTATATTTACTCAAAGTCTGCCAGTTGTTAGACCTCCTAACCAAATCTAATTAACCCTAATTTGAACTCCTCATAAAATCCCTCTTAACTTCCTAATTCAAATAAAATACAATTAATTAAAATGATTTGCATAATCCAAACTCCTCTTACCTTCCACATCACCTAGAATCTGGACTGCAAATTGCAATAGAACTACTCCAGATTAGCACCAAAGGCCCGCTGACGTAGCACAACTCAGACCACTAATTGGGTTAATTAGACATGTGCCAACCCCTCACTATAAATTTTAATTTTAAAAGCGAACAATACGTGTTCATTTATTTAATAACATATAAAAATCATAAATAAAAGTCATATAAATAAGTTACCTATATACCATTACCTTATTTTACAAATTGTGATCCATTTATTCATTAGTATGGACCTCATAGTTGGCATTGCCCTAAATTTTTTTTATGCACTTTTTTGGTTCCTAAATTAATATTTGTTACACATTTTTAATTCTAAACTTTTTATTTTATGCACATTTATGTCATTAAAGGAAATTTAAAAAATTGATAGTTGAACAGACTTAATGGACAAAACTAATGGAAGAATTTTAAAAATGCATCTTCTGTAGTTCAGGGACGAAAAAAATATAAAAAATAATTTAAAGACGAAAATGAATCAAAAATAAAAATTCAGATACTAAATTTGGCATTTAACAAAAAAAAAAAAGTTGGGGATGGGAAATGAGCAAATGAATCAACGGTCAATTTTGAGGGTGGATGGCGTGGAAGAACGTACAACGTTGATAGCGACAGCGTTAGTTGATATATTCGGAAAATTGAAGGAGACGTCGCCGTTTGCGACAAAGCCCACGAGAGCAGCTTAACGCAGACGCCTTTACACTATGATGGTCAATTTCTTTGAACTTTTTATCCTTTTATCATGGGGACCCTTGCCCTTGTGTTCCATGAATAAGCTGGTGACCTTTTGGACCCACTCTCAAGTTGCAACATTTGCAATTTGGAACTTCTTTGGGATTCCATTCATGAGAAAATAAAAAAATAAAAAATAAAACTTGTTCTCTCTTAACTTCAACATTTTGTCACACTAAAAAGTTGAATTAGCCTTTATTATTGACTTAACGATTCATTATCCAAGTTTAACTCTAGAATCATTAAATTATGAGTTTAATTCACAAAATCAATGTAATTGCCTAATTTACAATGTCAACTTTTAACGTAAGCCTAAAAAATCAAGTAGGTAGGCTTTAATAGGGAGATTATAATCACATAATTACTTTTTTTGTTAACTTTAGTCGTAACTGATTAAATTATTAATAATGTATTTTATATGGAGACTTTGAAAGAATAAGTTTGAGGGTTATATCGAGAAGGCAAATTAAGTTAAACTGCTTACTCAAAGTCATTTTCCAAAATATCACATGCATGTGTGAAACATGAAGTCTCTAAGCGGCTATAGCATTTCTAGAAGGACCATGATTGGTGCATACTCCACCGTACCACATTGCCGTACCACACTGTCGTTATACATTCTTTTTTCCGTTAACTCCTACACTCCATTAGTCTCCATCCTCATCAAATCCATCTTCCTCCTCACCTCTATTCTCATCTTCATCCTAATCATTTGCAGGACAATTGCCAACCATCCCAAACCAAACACGCATCCGATGGGAGGATCCCACCCACAAGATTAGCTCCGATCATCTCCCTCGCTACCTCTCCAAAAACCCCTCTGTTCGGAAGGTTACCTAAGGCAAAAATCAATTCCCAATTCCAGCACCAGACCCCTTGTCTGAGCCGCACTCCTTTGTTGAGGAAAAACTCCAACAAGAATCAGAAGCCGATCTAGCTTCTATAAGAACCCAGATGCAGAACCCAATCTGGGTGCAGAACCCAGATGCAAATGCAGAACCTAAGCAGAACCCAAATTAGAGCAAGGAAGAGAAGGGAGAAGAGGGGGAAGAGAGGGAAAGAAAATCAAAGAACCAAGGCTAGGTGAAAAGGAAAGTTGTACTGGTTGAAAAGGAGTAACAAGAGAAACGAAGACAAGTAATTGTGTGACGGAGGGTGTGATGACCGAGTATGCATATATCATTTTCCTTTCTAGAAATAACAAGTAAACCGGTTGCGGAAACATGTTTAATTTTAGGTGAAGGGGAAAAAAAAATGGTGTGTTAACATTCATCCCGATTAGTCTCATACGGACAAAATCACTTCAAATGTCACAAGTAAATCACTTTCAATAGAAAAACAAGCCAACCTGTAAAATCAAAACTTTGGCTAGATAGCCACCACAAAATTTTCTTCGTCCAATTAACAAAGTACAGACACATCCCATATTATCTGCAGATTATATGTAACCACTCAAGGTCTCTAAAGCAAACAGCGCATCATATCCCCCCCCCCCCCCCCCACCCCCTCTTTTTCTCACAGTGAAGGCCAATTTTGGTTAGAAACCAACTTTATTGAAAAAGTGTCTTCTCTGAGAAAGTGATAGGAAATGTAGTGCATGAAAAGACAGTAAATTTTGTAATGAAATTGTATTGACATTTTGCTAAGTTTATTATCGTTTCCATGTCTAGTATGAAGTTGGTGTTAGGAAAGTTGAAAAAGATGTCAGTAAGTCCCACATTAAAATTGTTAAGGGAAAGTTTTTCATTCTTAAAAGTGAGAAGAAGAGTTTTTTCATTTTTAAAAGTGAGAAAAAATGTTTACCTACGATAATTGTGTTAAAAATATAAATTTTAACTTGGATATCAAAATATCAGTAAGTCCCACATTAAAATTGTTAAGGGAAGAGTCTTTTCATTCGTAAAAGTGAGAAGAAAAGTTTACTTATGATAATTGTGTTAGAAATATAAATTCTAACTTAGATGTAAAAATATTAAATTATTGTTAATTAAAATTTTTTTGAGAAAGGGGGAAATTCCCTTTCGCCCAAACCAAACACAACCTAAGATGTTTATTTCCAGCTCAGCTCGCATATTCCTCTTGCTTAATCTCTTCCCACAAGTGACCTTAAAAGTGTATCACTTTTTATCGACTTGATATATTTAGAAAAAAAGAGAGTAAATTTTGCCACTAAAATTTAAAATTAAAATTTAATTTATAAAATAATATTTATTTATTAATAAATTCAAGAGGAACTTAAGCTTTGTATGCATTTGAAGTCATTGGTTGTTCAATTTTAAAAAATGTTGCCCCAAAAGCTCGGAGTGTGAAAAAAGTAGATCAGG